TTACTGACATTGCATGTATTTGAACCTGAATAATTACTAGATCTAGATCTAATGAGACCTGTGTACTTAACAGGTTTGAGTCGATAGAGCCAAACCCAGCTAAGTACGGCTACACTCTCAGGCTAGCCGTACTTAAGTACAGCTAGTCACTTCGATATTATGATGTGTAGATTGTGGCGTCGGTGGCCTAGTGGTTAGGCTCTCGGACTCGCAACCATAAGGTCGTGGGTTCGAATCCCGTCAAGGGCCCGACGTTGTGTCCCTGGGAAAGGCACTTTGAACAAATTTTCCTCACTTCACCCCCATGGAAATGGGTATCCGGCTATAGACAGTGAACGATCTTGTCAGTTTGGTAGTGTTTGAACGCGTGAAATCCGCAGCTTGCACTGTATGCTTCCGCGGAAGCCGAGAATGTTTCTGAGTGTTCTCAGAGGGTCTGCTGGGGTAATAATGTGGTTGTAAAATGCATAGAGCATGCTCCTCTTGAGCGTGGATATATGCGCTATACAAATGCATTTATTATTATTATTATTATTATTATCTAGAGTCTAGATCTAGATCTAGATCAAGATCTACATCTAGATTCTCTATCTAGATTTAGATTAGTTCTATGCAGAACTTTTCTGTTTGCTTCATATTTCATGCCATGAACATTCACAGCGCCCTGAATGAATGTAGTTTGCAATTTAAGAATGATCTTGCTCACTTCACCCCCTACCCTTTTCCTTCTTTTGTCTTTTCCTTCTTTTTTTCACTCCCCCTCCAACCCCTCTTCCCGCTTTGGCCTTCTTCCAATCTCCCTTGTTTCTTCGAACAACTTTTATTTTCAAATTGTCGAACAATGCCTGGTTCGCAAAAGAGTAGAGATAGAAGTAGTGTTCCGCGAGCTGAGCAAGCTATGCCTTGCCGACTGAGGCTGTTTCGTTGTGCTCACCTTTGCCGTCCGTAAACTCGGTTACATTCGGACTACCACTGCATTATTTTTCATGCGAGTATTCCTGTTCTGTTTACTTATTCACTCTGTGAGTTTGAGTGAGCGTAGCGTTTTAGTCTGTGCCAGTAGTGGACGATTCAGGTGCCGTGAACGTAGCCACTGCGCTTATTTTTGTGTGATTTGAATTTAGTAGTTATTTTGCTACTTAAAGTAAAGTAGTCTCTGCCCTCGATCCCACTGCTTATGATCCCAGTTCGCATTGATCCTGCTGTTTTAAGAAAACATAATTTTTACTGTATAGACCAACAAAATTCATCCCTAAGATCTCATGGCTCTAAAAGACTACATTCAGCTATGATCCCTCATTTCAGATAATAATTTACGGAACAAAACAAAGGTGAGCGCAGCTGATAGGTCAAAACATGAAAATTTGCTACCATTACACCGCAGTTCAACCGGTCTTGTGGATGTGATCACGGTTCCATTGTAGCCTAACCCTCGATGAAACCGTACAATATTTGCCCCAGACGGGATCACACCTATAGGTGCGAACTTGTTGACATGATATCCCCTAACATTGCACTTTCATCTGAGCTCTTCACCTGAACTTTCATCTGAGCTCTTCACCTGAACTTTCATCTGAGCTCTTCACCTGAACTTTCATCTGAGCTCTTCACCTGAACTTTCATCTGAGCTCTTCACCTGAACTTTCATCTGAGCTCTTCACCTGAACTTTCATCTGAGCTCTTCACCTGAACTTTCATCTGAGCTCTTCACCTGAACTTTCATCTGAGCTCTTCACCTGAACTTTCATCTGAGCTCTTCACCTGAACTTTCATCTGAGCTCTTCACCTGAACTTTCATCTGAGCTCTTCACCTGAACTTTCATCTGAGCTCTTCACCTGAACTTTCATCTGAGCTCTTCACCTGAACTTTCATCTGAGCTCTTCACCTGAACTTTCATCTGAGCTCTTCACCTGAACTTTCATCTGAGCTCTTCACCTGAACTTTCATCACACGCTGGATGGGTAGGGGCCTGTGAACTCTTTGGTGCTTTCATTTTCTGACAATTCCAGCAGTTGTGTATCTACACCAGAATTTGTTAGACAGGCTTAATTTTTATCGGTGTGGTCACGATTCAGTGCTGTGTTATGACAGACGCTAGGGTACTCGTTCAGAGATGGAAAGCTATACATTTTAGAAAGGTAAAGGTAAGGAGCTATAAGATAGTAGGAGTAGATCCTGAGACTCATGATTGGATAAAGTGGAAATTGCATGCTTCATGATGCTTTTGTGACTGGTCATCAAAGTTGACCACTCTTTGCTCGCCATAAGTCATAAACCCATCTTGGGGTCACACCACAGCACATGCTGAGTAAGGTGAGACCATTTTGACAATCATGGGCTTGAACATGGATCATTCTGATTTTTCTTATTTTTTTCAGTAATCCTCCTCGGGACTATTTCTGTTCCTGTCTGAGATCAACATCATGCATCACCTCAAAGCATTCTTCTCTGAGCTTTCTGGTGGGACTGGGGCTTCTCAAGCGTCGTCATCATACGAAGGAAAAGTTCCTATTCATGAACTGTCTCATGTGCCTACCAAAGCATGGGAAAAGATGAAAGTAAAGCAGGTATGAGAGAAATATTGAGAAGTTTTTTTAGATTCCAGAATTTGAAGGATTTTAAATTTATAAAAACACAAGGCAGAAGAGAAGAGACAGAACATGGATCAGAATAATGCATATTTAGTAAACTCTTTCGATCCCTTAAATAAGTGGAGAACTGTTATGTGTGATGTCTGATTCAGATCTGGCTCTTGAAGAGGAATTTAGGATTAGAAGGCAGTGACTATTTCACCAGTTACTTTTCGTATGGTGTTGTCTTAAAGTTAAAGACCCAGAAAGATTTGAAAACCATGAAAAATATGATTAGGTTCTTCTGGGAAACAGAATATAAACAAAATAGACTGGCTGACTTACAGATATGGTGCAATTCGTTTTTTAATCCGAAAGTACCTAGTTTGATTATGCATTTTCTTTTCAGAGAGGAGGTCAATAGAATACTTAGGTCCTACAGGATGAAGTGCTTAATTCTCACAAATGAAGTCGGAAAACTTTGAGGCTCTATGTGGTTCTTGCAGACACTTGTAAAAGTTGTCATTGCAGTAGTAGTTAATCCAACAATGCACATCCTTGACTCATTTGTCATTATGCTGGGCTTCAGATAGGATTGCCCTGTTTCAAATACCCTATGGCGTGGGTTTTTTTTTTTTTTGTAAGTGTTTTACGGCGCTCGCTCGCAACTGCATAAGGTCATAAGGTGCAGGACACACTATAAACGTTTTCAGCTTGTAGGAAATTTTGGGTTTTCCCCGGGTGGGAGTCGCATCGATTTTGGACCTCCAAGGGATCTTTTACGTGCGCAACTTGCTCACATGACCTCTGAGATTTTTCGCTGTTCTCCAAGAAGGCTAGGTGTTAGATCTTACCTACCATAATATCAGGGGTGTGGCTGAAAGACAGCAGTAAGACGGAGACAAGGAGTAGCAGTGGAACAGCTGTAGAAAAAGTCAGGAGCCCAGAGGAGGGGGCAAAGATCGTGATGGATGCAAAAATGGAGACAAAAGCAGGCGATAGAACATTGTTAGAGAGCAGGAAAGGATGTGAAAGGAAAACATTTTAAAGAAGAACATTTTCTGTCGCGATCCGGATTCGAACCCGTGACCTATTGAATAAGAGGCAGACACCTTAACCTTTAGAGCACGAGATCCCCCGGGGTGTTGCTACTCGTAAGCTTGGTTTGTTTGAGGACTTTTAAGGTATTCCATATCTACTTGGCTTGTTCTTATGCTGAACCTATTGGAGATGGGTGTTAACTTTGGAGGTCGTGTCTTTTAACTCATTTTGGCTCAAACAACACAGCATGTGACGATAGCGTGACTCCAGTCTTCCTCAAACAATGCACCATATCTGGGTGGCTCAATAAATTGTGTATCGAGTTCACACATTGCCCAGTACTCGCTCTTAATACAACATAATAATATTTCTTATACCATCAAGGGTTATTTTCCTCCACCGTTTTTCCATTTTTTCATTGTTTTCACCTTTTATACTATCACTTGTGCTGTATTGGTAAGGGAAAGTTAGATCTAATATGGGCAGAGTCTGTCAAAGTATGTGTCAAACCCAAACAATAAATGTTCTGGCATTCTCCCTTTACTCAAGTGTCGTGAATTAGTAGTAGTTGAGAATGCACAGGTCTTCTGGATTTGTTGAACAGCCTTGGCAGTTGAAACTGAAGCAGAGCAAAAACTTGCTCAGTCAATTCCCAGAGCAGCATTCTGAATGGATGCCTACTCACTAATAGCTGGAAATAATCTTTTCAATGTACATAAGATCAAAAATGTCTTTTAAGATAGCAACTGAGTGTCTGAAAGGCGGAAAATGGTGTGATTTGTAAAGTTGTGAGTTGCCCGTGTACGTTGAAGAGCATACAGTTAACTCCTCTGAAGGTGCACAGTAGAAGATAGAAGAAGAGAAAAAAAGAATGAAAAAGAGGGTACTACTGAATGGTATGTATGTGAAAACGAAGTAGCAAAATTTCCATCTTCCCCACTTTTAGGCATGTTTCAGCTCGCAAGCTGCACACATCACACAAATGGAAATCATGCTTTTAAATGCTCAGAAAGGGGCAAGCTGTTCTCTGCCAGAATTCTTCTGACTGACCATAGTGAAAACCACACATCATCTTGAATTGTATTTGTGTCAGGATGCGGTGGAATCAGGCGCTCGTCAATTTTGGGACATACTGAGTTATTGGTATTGTTGTAAAGCCTGTCCATTTGCCTTGCTTGTGATGAAAAAATATATCAATTTATCTCGGATACAAGTTAAGATATTGGCGATTGAAGGAGGTGGGAGTTGCCTGGTTTCAGATGTAAAATTAGCTGGAAAATGACTGCTAAAGTTGAGTTATTTCCTTAATTTGAGAGTCTGTGGAAACTGAAAATTTACATCTTTTATGCCTTTAATCAATGTTTTTCAGTGAAATCTGCACCGAAATGTGTTCTTAAATGCCAAAAAAACAAAAAAAATGATAAAAATTCCCAAACCTGCGGAAAAATGCCAGTTTCTTGATTTTCATTATTTTGACGAGAACCTGATTTCTCCACGCTGCCTCACATTTTACTTCTATTTCTCTTTTTAGATATTGTTAGAGTTTTATGGCACGTGCTACTCACTTTGATCATAAGTGCCATTTTTGTCGTAGAAACAGTCATCAAATACTGACGGATGGATTATTATTTTTATTATATTATTATTTCCAGACAGTAAAAGATGTTGACCCTATAGACCCCGCAACCCCAATATCGGAAGACCACATTCGGTTTGTGTGCCTCTCAGACACTCACAGTCGTGTGGAGAAGCTGGAGGGCTTTGTACCCCCGGGAGATGTCCTGCTTCACACGGGCGACTTTACGCAGATTGGATTGCCCAAAGCTGTGGAGGAATTTGACAGGTTCTTGGGTAATTAATTGTTTTTTAAAAATTTGGGTTACGGATAATTACTTTGTTTATATAAACATTGCAGTTCATTTAAATTTAAAGTAGAGCAGATTTAATTTGTTTTTTCGTTGTTTTTTGGGGAGATTATCTCGTTTTGAAATGGTTGATTAAAGCAGCCCTTGAAAACTTTCTATACAAATGCTTAAATATGCCAACTTTTTATTTGTTGTTGTCTGTAGTTCTAGAATCTTGTTGGTGGTGGTGGAAAATGGAATGTTAAATGTGAATATGCTTGTTTTCTGATAAGAATATGCTTTACTCAAGTTTACTCTTCCTGTTTCAAATGAAATCTTTTAGGGATATAACAAACAAAGTGATGTATATAACTTTCTAAGATGTAACAATATGTTGGTCTTGAGTCTTGGGTTATGAGGAAAGTGGGCAGAGTTATCTCCCATTTGCTGAAGCACGATCAGTGCCTTATTGTCTATGTAGAGAAGATTTTAGTACCATTTTTAGTGGAGCAAGGGAGGATGCTAGTTGATGTAATTTTTTGTCTAACCTATTTTTTGAAAAATTTGTTTAATTCAGGTGAACAGCCACACAGGGCCAAAATCGTCATTGCCGGTAACCATGACCTGACTTTTGATATGAATTTAGTTGAGAACCGAAGAGGCCACCTTCAGTCACAGTTTGGAATCCAAGTGAGTGTTTGACTGTACACATCTAAGAGTTTACACTTAAATGTAGGGGCAGGTTGGTGTCATTGTCCCAAAATGAGCAAATTGTAGGAAAGGTTATGTAAATCATTTATTGTTGTGATCCTGTGTATGCACCTGAAGTGCTGTGTTTAATGTGGGGCCCAAATAAAAAACTTTGTTATTACTCAATCAAGATTTTTTTGGAAAATGTCTTTGTTTGGTTACTGGCCTATATGAGTGCCATGTTATGATTTTATGTGTACATTTGCAAGTTAATAAATGAGCTAGAATTATTTTCACACAGTCTGAGGAAAGTGAACAAAGCTATAGAGGTTATCAAGAATATCGTCACAGCCACAACTCAGTTGCTTATCCATGTGAATTGTTTTTGCTCCTTCTTTGCTTTCAAATATCTAATCATCCTTACATCACCTCCTGTTTTTTCATAATATATGTTACTCTCTAGTAACACCTGTAATCTTTGGCACTTATATGACATTTGTGAGGCAGCGTGGTGGAATCAGGCTCTCATCAAAATAATCAAAGTGAAGAAACCTGCATTTTTCCGCAGGTTTGTAAATTTTTATCAAATTTGTGTTTTTTGGCTCAACTCTTTTCTGTGTGGATTTTTCATAGAAACGTTGATTTAAGGCGCAAAAAATGTATATTTTCAGTTATAACGGACTCTTAAGCTAAGCAAATAACTAATCTTTGGCGGCCATTTTCTCACTAATTTTACCTCTGAAAACTGGTGACCCCCACCTTTTTCATTCGCAAATATCTCGACTTGTATTCAAGATAAATGGATATTTTTTTCATCCAAATAAAGGCAAGCGATCAAGCTTTAACATGATACCAATAACTCAATAAACCCAGTTAATATTGACGAGAGCCTGATTCCACCGCGCTGCCTCACATTTGTGTTGCAAGTGCAGTGAAACTATAACTAAAACTAAATGAAGCTACTCCTCAAGTTGACTAAACCTGATGAAACTTGACTCCTTCTGCAGCGCAGTAAATTTGAAGACATCCTGGAAGAACTGAAGGTGAAGTCGTCTCGTGAGTTACTGAAGAACTGCTACTACCTGGAGGACTCTGGGGTCAGTGTGTGTGGCGTGAACATCTTTGGGTCTCCCTGGTAAGGAAGCAACATTCACTTACATAGCTTGTTGTTATTGTTGGTGTTGCTATTCTTGTTGTCAAGGAAGTTAGGGCCGAAAGACTTGCTTGAAGGGGGGTTCTTCCTCTGAAGATCTCCTGCTGTCCGCTTGCCCCTCATGTTTTCTCCCACACACTGTGGGTGGTTGGTGTGTGCTGGTGTGGTGTGCTTCTTTCCTGTCCAACTTGAAACATCTCTCCTTCTTGTTTGTGTTAGTTACTCCCTTGTAACATCTCTAAACTTCGGCACTTATATGACCTTATTGTGTGTTTTTTGTTGTTGCTGTTGTTACTCTTGTTGCTATTGTTTTTGTTGTTGTGTTGTTGGTTATGTTTCTATTATATTGTTGTTGTTGTTACTGCTGTCCCTCCTGTTTCTCTTCCTCCCCTTCCCCCCTCTCCTTCTCTCTCCCCCCCCCCCCCTATCTCGTCTCCTTAATCTTTTTTAATATCTGTGTCCCTGCCTTGAATAAATCCCCTCTGTAGACAGTTGAGTGTCCACTTGTTCCTCTTTCCTATCAAACATGGATCTATCGTCCTTATCTCCCCTCCTTCTTTTTTATGTTTGTTACTCTCTTGTAACACATCTAATCTTCTGGCACTCATATGACCTTATGCAGTTGCGAGCGCCGTAAAACCTCTACTAAAACAAAATAACTTGTTCCTCAGGCAACCAGAGTTCGGAGACTGGGGGTTCAACCTGCCTAGAGGAGGGCCATGCCTGGAAAAATGGGACAAGATTCCCGATGATACGGACATTTTACTGACCCACGGGCCGCCCATAGGTACGTCTCTCTGTCCGTCTCATATCCTTCACTTGTTTTTCGTTGTTTTTACTGATGCTCTTTTTAAAAATTATGAGAATGTATTTGTTTTGTTTTTTTGTTTTACTTGTTGCTTTTTGTTTTATGTTGAATGTGGATGTGAGCTATACAAAGGCTGTTTATTATTATTATTGTCATCATCATTATTATTACTTTTACTGTTGTTATTGTTACTATGTTTATCACCAGGGTGTGGGTGGTTGGCGGGGGCTCTGGTGTGGTTTGCTTCTTATTTCCTATAAAACATCTATTGTCCTTATCTCCCCTTCTTCTTTTCCATGTTTGTTGCTCTCTTGTAACACCTCTAATCTTCTGGCGCACATACGACCTTATGCAGTTGCGAGCGTCGTAAAACCTCTTCTAAAGCTAAAAACTATCTCCAGGGCACGGTGACTGGTGCTTCAGTGGTCTGCGCGCCGGCTGTGTGGAGCTACTGACCACAATTCAGACCCGTGTCAAGCCCAAGTTTCATATCTTTGGGCATATACATGAAGGTGAGACCCTCTGATAGTTGCCTCTTTCCACTTGTGGACAAACATTTTGGAAATACGGTCGAATTGTCCAAGACGGCTACCTATTGTTCGGGAGAAAAATGGTTGTCTTAGACAGATGGATGTCACAATGTCATTACGATGTACAAAATGCAGGGTGGGGGGTGGGGGGGGGGGAAGTGATCATTTTTACAGGTGATTGTTTTGGAGAGTTGGCTTTTGAAGCAGGTTTAATTGTATATACAGTCAAACCTGTGTAAGACGGCCACCCATTGTCAAGGAGAAAAGTGGCCGTATAAGACAAGTGGCCGTCTTAGGCAGGACTGATCAAGATGAAGAAAACAAACCATTCCCATCTGAGGTCTCAATCGAAAGTAGCGGCTTTGTTGTTGTTTTTGTTGTTGTTGGTTTGTATTTTGTTTGTTATTTTTATTTTGTTGCTGATTTTGCGCAAGGGTGACAATAAAACGAAATGTGTCAGACAAGGAGGACCGAGTGCCATGTTAAAACAAACACATGGGTCGCCACCACTCGAAGAACGAGGGACGCTCCTGTCACACGTTCATGTTGACGTCCATTGTTACTTTGTTACAGATTGGGTAAACAGTGACCACTCATCTCACTTACGATTTGTGTATGAATTCTGGGCTGGGCTTATGGGTTATGAGGGATCACCCGCTTCCCTCACCAGCAGCTGGGATTTGGTACCTATCGGTCAACAGTTGGAGGGGCCTTACCTTACGACAACAACAGGGGTTTGGATTATGACAGCTCACCCACAACGCCATGGTCAGTGCACAATTTATGAGAAAGCGTAATGGAGTCACTAAGGTGACCGTCTAAGACAGGTGTTATTGCTTAGTGTGATAGGGGTTGTGTGTTAAAATATGGTGGCCGTGGCTGCGTTGGACAGGTGCCCGTTTTACACAGTTAAATTATATAGAAAAAACGCAAGGGGGGAAATGGAAAGTGGCCGTTTGTACAGGTGGCCGTCTTATAGAGGTGGCCGTCAGGGCAGGTTCGACTGTAATTATATATATGTATATATATATATTTATGTAACACTGTGGTGGAATCGGGTGCTCGTCAAAATAATGAAATGGAAGAAACTGATTCCACAGCATAGTGACACATGATATTTTCCTGCAGCATAGGCTTACACATCTTTCTCACTTTTTGTCAGCCAGCCAAACGTTTCCATGACATTTTTTCTCGACATTTTTACATGATATATTTTCAAAGTCGTTGGTAATCATACGTTTCTGTTGGTGATTGGCGGGTGCTTTGGTGTGGTCCTTATCCCTCCTATTTCTTTTCATTGTGCGTTAATCTTCAGTAACCCTCTAATTTGAGCACTTCTATGAGCTCTCTTTGTGTTGCAAGTGACTTGAAATTCATACTAAAACTATAAGAACTAACATTTTTCTTTTTAAGTATTCAGAGCTTAACTCTATCCGTAGGTCGTGTTTTACTATTGTATCTATGCGACGTGGGGAAATCTGGGCCGCCACTTTCCGAAGAAGAAATTTACTCGTTAATCTGATACGTATGCTTTTCATAGCAGTCTGTCAAAATGATTTTTTGAGAAATACCGAAAGCTTCAAAGAGATCTTTGTACTAGAAGTATTCTAAAATATGAAGAATACAACCCTGGGAGTACAAAATGACCCCAGGGCGTACGGATAGGGTTAATGGTTTATTTTTATTTGACAGCGTATGGAGTGACCTCTGATGACCAGACGACCTTCATCAATGCCTCCAACTGCACACTGCGCTACAAGCCCCTGCAACTGCCCATTGTCTTTGACTACCCTGTACCAGATGGACACTCAAAGAGCGAACTGGACAACTTTCCTAAAAATAACCTTAGTCAGTAATTTAGGAGACTTTGTTTTGTTGTTTCAATATCATATTGTTATATGTATATTATTATATGTTTTTCAGTTTCAACGCATTGCTGATCACACGACATAGTAAGTGATAAAAAAGTTTCTGCTTTGTTGAGGTGTTTCGAGTTCAAATTTGAGTGAATTCCGATTAGTATTCTGATCCGTCCTGCAATATTTCCTCTTTGCCTCGTTTCCTGATCGGGGAATGAGTTTTCCGCTTTTGAAATGACCGTTAACACTTTGCAGTAGTACACTGTGCACCTACGCTGACCTTTCGCACCTTTGTTACAATAAGCACAGTCCCTGTCATTAGACCGTTGTCTGTGATGTTAGGCGCCTTGCTGTCGCATGCAGGAGACCCGGGTTCAATTCCCAAGTGGGGGAAAACATTTTTATGGAGTATCTCAGTCTTTCTACTGGGATGTATCCCTCTAAGCCTGAGTTGGTCCTAACAGACAGGTGTGGGTCCCATGCGTTAGTTTTACTTTTCATTGGAATTGAAGGCTTCTGTTCAAAAGCACCCTTAATGAAATCGCTTCACACAGCTAAGATTACCAAAGTCTTGTATGTTTAAGTAACCTGAAAGTGCTGACCTAGCTACACATAATACCGAATGTGAGTCTTCTTTCTCACGAAGCTCTGAGACAAAAAAAGAAGTAATTGTGGCAGTCACAGGTAGAGAAATTGAATTCACTTTTGTGTTAGCTGCATACCTCTCCCACTTTGCAATATACACAGTGTAAACTTTTTTGATATCTGGCCCATGAGGCCATAATGACTTCAGTAGCTTTTTCAGAAAAAGCCTTGGTTTCTGAGTCTCTCTCAGACTGTTTGTATACTAGAAGTCTTAGCTTCTTGTAAAGTCGATGATGAGTGTCTTGATGGCTGTGGGGCATGACCCAGAAACGACATTTCGTCTGTCAGCACTTTCACCTCTGATTTTGCCTTGTCGGTGGTTTCACCTTTCGATTTTGCTATGTCCGTTATTGTATGGCTGCACAAGAGAATCCTTCACATAGGTACCAAAATGCTTTTTAATTTGAGATAATAACATTTGCATATTCTGCAACCTTTTCTGAGTATTTTGCTTTTTATTTGAAGTCTCTATCATAGTTGGATGAAAAGTTATGACAATTTTTGTCCGGTTGGGTAAGATAATTCTGTTTCGAGAAAACAGCCTTTTAACTTTTCGGTACATTTTTTTTCAAGGGAATGAACTTTATGCATACAAACCCTTACAGAATCATTTTCATCCTTACATAAGGGTTTTTAGCTTATTATTTACATTTAAATCTAGATTGCAACATACATTTTTGGTCAAATATGATGCCTTATATAGTCATTGCTGCTCTGTGTTGATGCCAGTTTTGCCACACCCTCACCCTCTGCCTCGTGTACCTCCTCCCTGTTTTGGAACAGTCCTGGCCTTCTTTGTCTTTCTCTCTCTTTTCTTTCTGGTATCGTGACATCATAAGTTGTCAGCGATGCCGACAGCACACAGGAACTCAACACTCGCTTGGGGGTCCTTAAACAGTGCTGATTGTGGGTCCCTGAAATGTCCAAGCAGAGTGTGTTATGGTACGATAGTTGGCAGGACATTTCAGGAACACATGGTCCATAGTCTCGTCCTCCTCTTTGCAAGGGGCTGCCTTTGTCGGAACTGGCAGCTCCTCCTCACAGTCATTAGTGCTGTGATCATGTGAGGGGCCTGAGGCTTGCAGGGGAATGCTGGGTTTAGGAGTCACAAGGTTCTGTTTGTTTGCTGAGATGAACTGATGGATTTCATTGGGTAGATACATACCACTGTTGTCGAGGACTCAGACCAGTCTCTTCAATGACAGGTGGTATTCCGTCTTTGTGTGACTTCTTCCTTGTGATGTCATGGATTACCCTCTTTTAACTTAACACTGGCCTTCACTGTAAAAGATCTAGAGCTATCCAGAAAGAAATGATGGAGAGATTTTATTCCTGTCAGTTTTACAAAGAAATCAGACACAAACTTTATCCAACTATATGTTGGCACCTCTGTGGGCCCAACTTCACTTCCAACAAGCTTTGCCACATTCATTTCAGATGAACTGTTCACAACGTCCACAATATATTGAAGGGAGTCAAATTTGGTATTTCTCTGCTTTCTTTTGACTATTCGGAACCCCTCGTGTGGGCTGAATTTAGTCTATCCAGCAATTAAAAAATGGAATGAAGGAATTTGGAAAACTCTCTACATATTCTCACAGCATGATGAAAGTAATCCATTCGAGACTGAATCCTGTTTGTCTGTTGTGACTTTTTTTTAGTTCTGTGTCTTCATGTCTAAATGAATGCCAGATTCAAGCCGTTATTATTTCAGCGGACCTTGCAATAGCTGCTGTGGCTTTTGCTATGCTTTTCAGCTGAGAAGCCAGTCTCATGCCTTTTTTCTTTTGATGCAAGATTAGGAGGGTCGAAATAGTTTTATTTGTTCGTCTTATTGTAAGAGCAGGGCAGTTTCTGGGTCTTTTGTATCTAAAAATGTTTCCCTTTTTCTTGTCTTACGTAATGGTTCGGCCATGGCAGTCTTGATAAACTTGACAAAGTTCTGCGTAATCGGTTGTCCTATTTCTTCATCTACCTCATATGCTGAGGTTGCCTCTTTGTACCAGTCATTGTCATCACTCTGTGCCATCTCTCTCTCTCAGTGCGAAGGGTGTTACGTTTCCCGATGTTTTCCACCACCCTTTGTGGGAGGAGTCTGATTCATGACCGGATACCGCTCCTGTGGCCTCTCAAATGTCTTCATCTCCTGACACATCTCGGTCAAGTAAATACTATCTCTTCTTCTTCAGTGCTTTCCCCTTCATTACATAATGTTTCTTGTTCTTTATTCTTTTGTTTTTTAGTTTATGGGGAAGATAATGCTGAAGATGAAGAAGATGATGGAGAAGAGGAGGAAGGAGAGCGTTTCCTTTTCCTTTCCTTTGACACCTCCAATGCCTTGACACTTATTTCCATAATTTTGTTTTTTTGTTTGATAAAGTTTTTGATGTCATCCCTTGTTGGGTCGGTTTCATCAACCGTTTCCCTCTCATCTATCTCTCCGTACTCGTGGAGTGATATAATGTGTCTTCATCCATGTTAAAGCTGCACGTATCAAAGGGGTCTATTTTAGAATGTCCTCTGTATCTTTGTTGTTCACTGTGACTTCCCGTCAAAAGGCTAAGAGAAATCGGCGTGGGTGGTTGGCGGGTGCTCTGGTGTGGTTTGCTTCTTCTTTCCTACCAAACGTCTATCATCCTTGTCTCCCCTCCTTCTTTTTTATGTTTGTTACTCTCTTGTAACACCTCTAATCTTCTGGCTCTTATATAACCTTATGCAGTTTTGAGCGCTGTAAAACCTCTACTAAAACTGAAAGAGAAATTGGTATTATTTTCCGAGATGTTGTGATAATAGATTGCCCAGACGGCGGAAATATGAAACCACCCAGAATGCTAACAAATTATGTTTCCCATAAGGCTCTCACTTTAGGCAAGAAGGCTAACTATAAAAGATTTTGCTCAGCATGCTAACGAAGTTTTGCTCAGAAAGCTAACAAATAATTTTGCCCTCTAGGTTGACAAATATTTTTGCAAGAAAGGTAACAAATAACTGGTCGCTTTCAAGCACGGGAGCTATTCTGACAAATGCTGTGTTGACAAAATCGGAGATGGAGTTTTGCCCCTTGTTCTGTTTCTTTAAAAGACAAGGAGAGTTTACTCTATAACCAAACAAATAGACACACCAATGAAACCATACTTCTCCTATAGGTAGGGCAATGCCCAATTTTGGTGTAGATTAAGATTTCTGGAAATCCCCGAAATCTGGGTTAGTCCGCTTGTCCTTAAAAGCGACCAATTGCACCTAGAAAGTTAATAGTTCTTCAGAGAAACTAACCAATAATTTTACCCAGAAAGCTGACAAATAATTTTGCTCAAAAGGCTAACACACACACACACACACACACACACACACACACACACACACACACACACACACACACACACACACACACACTCACATACACACATACACACACACACACACACACACACACACACACAAGTGCCCGGAAGGGTTGGTCATAATATCTTTAACACTAAAAACAAACTATGAAGTGTTATGAGCTAATATATATATATATATATATATATACTAAACTCTCTCTCTCTCTCTCCTTTTTCTCTCTCTCTCCTTTCTCTCTTTCCTCTCTCTCTCTCTCTCTCTCTCTCCTCTCTCTCTCTCCTCTCTCTCTCTCCTCTCTCTCTCTCTCTCTCTCTCTCTCTCTCTCTCTCTCTCTCTCTCTCTCTCTCTTTATGTATACTAAACTAAAACAACAGCTACACTCCCTCCAAGTCAAAAGCGTCGCCTTCAACAGCACTGCCCACTAATGCTTTCTTCAATAGAACATACAATTAATGAATCTTTTAATTACAACCTTTTCCAAATGCAAAGATAGCTAAATCTCTATGAGTAAAATTTGTTTGTGCATTGCCCATCTGGAGAGGCAACCTGTTATACAAAACCTGGTTGTCCGTTTGGAAAAGAACACGTATGAACCGTTCAAGCGTTGCGCGCCAAATGAGCGAGTCGGGAAACACTTTTTAAAAAAAGTTATCCTGCGTGATCTCTTCCTGTTCTTGGGGTTTTTTTTGTATGTTACTGTCTTGTAACCTCTCTAATCTGTGGGGCTTATATTATAATTTAAGACCTATTTGTGTTGTAAGTGCCATACAATTCTTACTGAACCTAAACTCAGTGTGGTACATAGTGTCGGGAATCGCTACAATATATGAGAGGAATCAATGGCGGTGTTACAAATTCCGCTGTAATTGTTTTTTTATGGAAACTTTTTTGAAATAGCCATATAAAAATGAATCAAGCAAACCGGAGCAGCGCTTTACAATACATGTATTCTCGTATTTACTGTAAAGGCAGAGTTATCGACTGTTTTAGAGAGCCACTTCGTTACGTCTTTTGATGTAGCCTGTTACTTTGTCTAGTCATGTCAAAAGATATATAGCCTGTCACTTTGGTCTAATTATGTCAAAAGATATAGCCACATTGGTCTAATTATGTCAAAAGATATAGCCATATTGGTCTAATTATGTCAAAAAACAAAGCATGTCACATTGGTCTAATTATGTCGGAAAACAAAGCATGTCACATTGGTTTAATTGTGATTGTGTCAGAAGAAAAAGCCCATCTAGTTGGTCTACTTTTGTCAAAGGACATAACTGGATTACCTGTCACTTTGGTCTAATTCTGTCTAAAGATGTAGCCCTCCCTCCCCCCACCCCCCTCCCCCCCACACACACTTTTGTCGTACGACACAAAAAAAGTAGCCTATTATTTTGGTAAAGTGACACCAAAAGGTAGAGCTGGGTACTAATGAGTTAAGCTGAGTTCAGGGTCTTCTAGTTGGAAAATGTTTCAAAGGTAGAGGGCTCAGTCCCCCTAACAGTCGAGTCGATAGAGAGAAAATGTTTGCTGAAGGAGAAAAGAAATATGATTCTTACTCATATTCCATAGTCATTATATATATACGAATCTTAGACTTCGGCGTCAAGTCTGTTACCAACTTGTTGATCATTTGCCAGATCTGAGCTCATATGCTCTTAAAAACAAATATATAACTCTTTGTTTGTTTTAGTAGAGGTTTTACGGCGCTCGCAACTGCATAAGGTCATATGAGCGCCAGAAGATTAGAGGTGTTACAAGAGAGTAACAAACATAAAAAAAGAAGGAGGGGAGATAAGGACGATAGATGTTTGATAGGAAAGAAGGAGCAAACCACACCAGAGCACCCACCAACCACCCACAAATATATAACTCTGTTATGCTGGTCTTGTCTTGACATCCATCTGTTCATATTCTCTAAGTAAGTTATTCTTAGTCTACCTCTGCTTCTATTACCTTCCATTTTCTGTGCAAGGCAAAATGTTCAAGGCCTGTCCTGTATATCGATTCAAGTGTCCTATGAATTACTACAGATCTTGTTTCTTCCAAACTGTTTTTGTTAGTGAGCGTCTCATGCTGCCTTCTTTCAGCATTGCATCATTTGATTTCTTTACCTGCCATGAAATTCTCAACTGTGGTTTCTTAAAACCACATTTTAGTTGCCTCGAAACTCAGATTTGTTTTCATGATTTTTATTAATTATTCCTGCTTTCATAGCAGTTTCGAGGGTTTGACCTCACATACCTTTTTTAAGCTCTTATTTTTGTCTTCATTGAGATGTTTTTGTTATTCAGAATTGAACTCTAGTACCCTGGTGTGGTTTGCTCCTTCTTTCCTTTCTTTCCTGTCAAATATCTTAATGATCTATCGTCTTTAACTCTCCTCCTTCTTTTCTTTGTAGGATGTTATGCTATAGTATTCTGTTGAAACTGTCTTTAGCTATGGTTCTTCATTTTTTAAAAACTGTGCTATACATTTGTCTTCAGTTGTAATTATATATCTCAGATATTTAGTCTTTTAAACTTGTTGATCTTGCTTATGAAATTGAGATAGCAAAAATGGCCCACCGTTTAATAATAATTTTTTTTCTGTATTGGTGTTAAAATATGTTATCTTATGTGACATTGATGTAACCACTGAATTGTTTTATATATGACTGTACTTGCTGTTTACAAGAATTGGCCAGGGAATAAGTTACAGCGTGGGGTTGGGTTTTTTTAGGGGGGGGGAGGGGTAGGTATGTTTTTTTTGGGGCGATGCTATAGGTAAAAAATGGATACCGATTTATAGTAATACCAAGTAATCAGTGTTCTGTTTCTCAACCTAATGCTCTGGACTTTTATCCAAGATTTGTGCTCAACTTTAAATAATTTACCAAATGAAAAATGTGTCACGTTGTAAGTGTTCTATTTTATCTACTCTTATTGAGTGTTCTAGTGGCAGATTTACCAACTATCCTGAATTTCCTGGGATTGTTCTACATTGTAGATTCAGCAATCAGGAATTTGACAGGACATTTTAGCCCCCAGCACTTTGCTGAGCCAAATATCAAACTTTTTTTGTCTAGTGTTTGTTGGTTAATTCCAGCTTGATATAAGAGGTGTTACAAGAGAGTAACAAACAGGCAAATTCTCAGCAGCCAACATTTTATCGTTGCCTTTCTCACCCTGGATCAGGATAAAGGCCACGAATAAACACTTTCCACCTTTCCCTGT